CCCTCTCTCATGACAGGGCGCGCACGAGTCCTATCATGAAAAAAGGTTCATTGTGCGACCTGAGAAACGCGCAGTAACGGGGTGTCTGCAATGGTAACTGGGTTATAGTTACAGTCAAAGTAATTAGTTAGATTACTCGTTACTAAAACAAGGTAACGAGTAATCTAGTTAGTAACTAACGCCGTTAGTCCCATCACTGGTTCTTACAGTGATTTTTGGTAATCTGCGATGGATTCCCTCAATTTAAGTTGGAGTTGTGAAACAACTATTGAAGATATCACAAAGTGTATCCCAGGCTTTAGAAAATGAAGTAAGTGAAGCTACGAATGAAACTAAGCTATTTCAACAGTGAACTGATTTAAATTAATCATTTAAGTTATAAGATTATATTATTGTCATGATTTTATCTAGTGATCTGACCCACATGCAGAAGACCAAACAGAGAGACCAGGGAAAAGTTTAAAAGGTTTTATTTTGGGAGAATGAGATGGGTACAGTGCTGCTCTGAACACTGTCGAACCGGAAGTTTCCAGAAAAAGGTGTCTCTTAGTGAATCCAGTCGGTGTGAGTTGTTCCAGTGAATGTCTTGTTCGTTGGAGGGCAAACAGGGTTTACCCAGATTGCGGTTGTTCCTTGGTGAACTGAGAAGCTGACTGCCACTTAGTTTTCCTGCGGTACTTGAACGGGTTATAGTGGAGATGAATCCCCTGCTCAGTGAGAATCCCAAAACAATCCTTGAGGGGAAAAGTTGATCCAAACCACAAACTTGAATCCTCAACTCAGTTTGGTGCTCAGAGAATCCTTCCAGGGGGGAGAAGGTCCGAAACATCCAGTTTGCAGGATGACTTCCCGAAACTGGCACTCTGGCGTCGAAGTAGTGGCAGTCAGCAGCTTAAGAGTCCTCAGGTAATGAGTGCAACGAGCTGCAGGTGTGCAGGGAGGCCCAATGAGGACGGGGCACCACCTGGTGGAGGAGAAAAGGAAACACAAAAACAGACGACACAAACTGGATTCCTGACAATTCTGAACAATAATAAAGATTTGCAGGGTCTCTGGGAGAGAAAAAAAGGCCCAAATTATCACAGATAGTCATCATTCATTTACTTAACATTTACATCAAGTGCAGTGCAGGATATTTTCATTTATCTTCTCATTTATTAAGGTTTTCTCCTCTTAAGAGATATAGTCTTTTGAAACAACTGTGTTCAAGACAAGTAGACTTCAGTCTGATCTTTTTTCTTTTACATTTTTAATTGTTTTTAAAAGTTAGCCCCTTGTTTCATATATCAAGAAATCTTTCATTCATGAAATGATCAAATGTTTGGTGCAAACACGCATAATTTACAACAAAGTCAACTACGACAATGAATGGTACAGTATTTGTGGATTTTTAAAGCTCGTTTTTTTTATTCTCCAGTGGACCCACCTGTTCCTTCATGTCAGGAAGGACTCTACCTGCCTCATCTTGTGGCTCCAACACCTAGACACGGAGAACGCATTGTGGCTGAGGTTCAGAAAGAACTGGAGATCAGAGTCAAAGCACAGGCATCACACTCAATGTAGTTTATCAGAGCTCACTGATGTCTGCTGGTAGGAAAACAGCAACAACGTCTACATGATATTTTGTGCTTTACTTTTCATCTAGTATCCAAAACATCATCTTCAGCGGGCCATCGAATGTCACCAAGCACAGGGACATTAACAGTGATTTTGTCATCAGGTGGACACCAGTTAAAGATGATCTTGGAGGTCATTTTCCGATCTGCTTTGCTGTGGAATCACAGAATGGGTGAGACCAGGATTTATTTATAATAAAAGCAATAGTTATGGAAATTGAGAACAATATATTTTTTTTTATATTTTGTACCTCAGCCTTAAGCATCTTTTCAACATCTTAATAAGTAGCATAAGGCATGAAACCATAAATAGCATAAGTCCATTTTAGGAGTATCTATTAGTGTACTGATTTATTTATGAGGGAAAAAAAATTTTCCGTTTCAGGTCATCCGTCTATCAGTCTGAGATGAGGTGTGTTCTGGTGGAAATTCGAAAAGAGCAAAGTAAGTTTAAACTAGAGGTGTTTTTCTGGTAAATTACAGTTCTAACAAATGAAAAGCGTCTCTTCCTGTAAATATTAGCAGAGATCATTTTACAGAGCGACTTGTTCACATTTAATAGCGGATAAACTTGGTACCATTTGGGTAAAGATGTATTCCTTTGCTAAGTCTTTAAGATACATTTTACCTCCATCCAAGCACCTGGAGGTCATTGCATTACCTTAATGTTTTGGAGCCATTCTTTTCATGAGTTGTGTAAGTTGTTTTTTTGTTTTGTTTTGTTCCCAACCAATTATTCTTGTTCCAGTCAAAGCCCAAGTTACCTGCACTGAAACAACAATGAAGGTGGAGGTTGAAAAGCAATCCTTCTTTGGACTTCAGGAGGATCATCTTCGCCTTAGCGACCCCAGCAACACCATCTGCAGCCTTGAAAGGAACTCCAACAGTAGCCACATAGTCGCCATCATTCCTCTCAACGGCTGTGGTACTCAGATCGAGGTGAAAACAAGTTGTGTTCTATGCTGCACATGGTTAATCTTTCTAGTATTTGTACAGGTTGTGACTATTTACTCTGCAGGAAGACGACGATTACCTAATTTTTAAGAATGAGATCACAACAGTGGAGGACAACCCAACGGAGCTGGTCACCAGGAAACACTTGGTGGAGGCCCGTTTCTACTGCCAATACCCCAAACGGGGCAATGTGACCCTAAGCTTTTCAGCACACAGAAAGAACGTCACAGTTTGGGAGAGAGGTTTTGGCACGTTCATCTACCAGTTTGAGTTCTACCAGAATGACCAGTTTGGAGCCATGTTTGACCCAAACTCCTACCCTCTGGAGTTTGACATTGGAAACAGGATCTACATGCAGCTGGATGCCAGCTCCTCTGTCAACAACACTGAGATGTTTGTGGAGTCCTGCAGAGCTGCACCGTATGACAACCCAAACTACCATCCGACCTACTCCATCATTGAGAACGGGTAAGCATGGCTGCAGAGGAACCCAAGGAAGACAAGCACAGAAACCATTTACTATGGTCCACTTCAAATAACATTTGCTGATGATGATTTTGATGTGCTGACGGTTAATAAAACTGATAAGCTGTAAATCTATTTCAGCTAATGTGAGATTTTGGTTTCAATTAGGTGCAAAGTTGACCCAACTTTGCAGATTTACTCCACACCCCAAAACAGACAATTCAGGTTCAGCATGGAGGCCTTCAAGTTCATTGGACTGCATGATCAGGTTAGGAACAAAATGTGCTACAAAACATTTTATTATGAAATTAGTTTCTATCACTGAACTGAATGTTGAAACATTCTTTGGTTTCCACATACTTGTGGTAAAAAAAAAACTTTATCCATCAGGTGGTGTGGTAGTTTTCAATGGCTATTTGCTTTATGTGCTCAGGTGTACATCAGCTGCACAGTCATGATGTGTGAGGCAGGAAATCCCAACACCAGGTGCTCTAAGGGATGCATGAACTCTACAATGACTCACAGCCCTGTTCGTAGAAAGAGAGAGGCTGTGGTCCAGAGTGGAAAGCATTTGGTTTCCCAGGGTCCACTGCGTCTGCGGCGTGAAGCAGACCCCAAAGGAGGCTCAGGTAGGGAAACCATTTTAAAATATTTATGAGAAGCTGGTTTAATGTAAGTAGGACTCCATTACTAACTGCGTTTCTCTTGTTTGCAGCACCAAATCTAAACCTGAACCTGGTATTTGTTGCTGGATGCCTTCTTGTTGCTGTTGGGATGGTCTGTGGCGTCCTCATCTTCAAAGCCAAAACCTCCAGGGTCAAATATCAACCTCTGCCCTCATATGAAAACTAAACCACCTGCATCTGTCGGGCTGCTTTCTGGGGTTTTGGGAATGTGGGATTCTTTATGAAGTTATTTTAATATCTAATAAAGGCTACATTCACACTGCAGCCTGAAGTGACCCAAATCCGATTTGCATGCCCATATGCGACCTGGATCTGATCTTTTCATGGCAGTCTGAACAACACAGATCCGATTTTTTTCTATCCAACCCAGGCCACTTGACTATGTGGTCCTGAATCCGATACGAACCTGATCTTTTCTAATGCGACCTGTGTCTGCATTCATCCGACCTGAACGCCATTAATACCCGACAAAGGTCACTATTATGCATCTTGCTACGCAGAAGCAGCAAGAAAAACAACAACCATTGCAGATGATGATGCGGAGAGCAGTATTTATGTTTAACCAGACTGAAAAGATTGTGTTTTATGGTTGGAAAAGATCGCTATATGCGCGCCGGCGCTACCATCCATGTCCTGTGAACAGCAACGTAAAAAATTCGGATTTCGCAAAAAAATCGAGCATCAAGCCTGCAGTGTGAACGTAGCCAAAGATGCAAATATCTGGAAATGTGGTTTTCTATTAATCATAACTGGAAGAAAGGTTTTATTTTGTCTAATGTTTTGTCATTATTATTTTCCCCTATAATCAGTTGTTTTATTTTGAAATAGATTTGATTTTTATCTTTTCATTTTAATCCTGTATATAAAAATGGACTTAATGTTCCTAAATGGTTCAATAAAAAATACTTCTATCAAGATTAATGCTCACATTCTTCATTCAAAGTGGTAGCAATGATATTTCACCATACAGGCAGTTTGATTTATCAAGACCCGTCTCCGCATCCATCCGACGCTCCGTGTTTCCCAGATTAAACCGGTCCTCACCAGCACTTTTTGCCCTCAAGCCGAGCCGCCTTCACCACCTGAGACTACAAGGGGCACCCATTTTTTACGGTCCTGAGGATTGTGGACTCCTGTCGATAAGGTCGTGGCTGGCAGTATCTGGTCGACTGGGAGGGCTACTCTTCATATAGATTTTTAAAAAACTACATATAGAGTAATTAAGGTGTGGGTTTGAAATAAAACTGCTTGTATAAGTATTTATTATACATTTATGTTTGCAGAATACTGACTTCAGGGTTATTTCATTGAGTTGTTGAGATGTTAACTATAGGAAAGAAGGATCTTTTGTAGCAGATTGGATTGCAGCAGATCTGCCTTTGACTGAAGACAATATTGCTGTATAACAGTTCAATAGTCGTCTAACAGGGATGCTCCATGTTGTCTGTAAGTTCTTTGTTGTATGAAGAATTATTTGTGAAATTGTTTCTAGAGTAAATCCTCTAGAACAGGAAGATGAAACAAGGGCCTGCCCTGTCCACCCCATGCATCAGCCCAGCATTGCTGCACTTCTAGGATTGGTGCACTTATGCAGAATAGATCACACTCTCCCCAACAGACCTACAGAAGATATGCAGCTTCTAGCTGCATAAAAACACTGTTAAATTGATCATACTAATTGCACAAAACAAAGCATAGTAACAATCTTTTTGAAGGCATGTAATTGTCTAAATGTGATTAATCATCACACTTATTTGATTGGAATTAACCTGCTGATCAGAGTTGGATGTTATATTTTTAAGAAATTATTTAGACCTAAAAACATAACAGTTAATTTTGGGTGTCAAAATGCTGTAACCTTTTTAATACCTCAACTCTAAAGCTAATGGAGATTCAGTCTGGATATAGATCAATTTGACTTATTTCTAACACAAAGTACACACTATCTTAGCCTATTTATCAAAAAAGGGGCCTCCATTGTTATTTCATGGAACTGCTTCAACTTAAAGCTACAGTGTGTAATAATTACAGGGATATACAGTCAGAAATGTAATATATTATACATAACTATCTTACTTATCCTCATCTACGA